CAACAAAAAAGGAGGACGTCACGGGAGAGGACGTGGTCGTGGGCGTGGATATGGTGGAGGACGAGGTGAAGACCGAAAGCCACGTAACTTCGACAAATCCAAGGTTAAGTGTTTCAATTGTAATGAATATGGTCATTTTGCAAAAGAGTGTCCCAAACCAAACCGAAGAGAAAAAGCAAATCTTGTTGCAACGCAAACCGAAGATGAACCAGCACTGTTGATGACAGAAACTTGTGTTCTCAGCCACGCAATACAGAACGAGCAGGTATTATTGCATGAAGACAAGGTGGTGTCAAAGTTTAAAAACACCCGAGAGAAGGCTTGGTATTTAGATACTGGTGCAAGTAATCACATGACCGGTTGTATTGAAAAATTTGCTGAAATTGACACGACAATTAAAGGGTCGGTCAAATTTGGGGATGGCTCGACTGTAGAAATCCAAGGAAGAGGTTCGGTTTTATTTGAAGGCTTCGCAGGTGAACATCGAATACTTACTAATGTCTACTACATCCCGATGTTGAAGAGCAACATAATAAGTTTTGGCCAGTTAGATGAGAACGGATGCAAAGTTGAGGTTGAAGGAGGTGTTATGACTATTTTAGATAGATCACAAAGGCTACTAGCAAAAGTGAACTACTAAAAAAATTCCTCCATTTTTGTTAGCGTTTAAAGTTTGGTTTTGAAAACCAACATTTTCTCAAAAACTGAGTGTCCTAAAAGCTTTACGAACAAGGTCGGAGCTTCCCTAACCTCGAAAAATTGACGCGGGAGCTTTTTCTGGGTTGCGGTGCTGTAGCAGCTACAGTGTTGCGGCCTAAAATTCCTCCACTTTCCTTTTTTTGTTTCCTTTCTCTTCCTTCCCTTTTCCATGATTCTCCTATTTTATTTCCTATATATTTTATGTTAGCCTTTTCTATTTCTTTACTTTTCCATGAAATCCCCTAATAAAAATCATTGTCTATTATATTACTTCCTTTTTAATCTATTTCCTAATTGAAAGCATTGCCTAATATAAGTCATAATCCCTCTTTAGAGTTCCTTAGATCCCCCCTACCCAAACCACCCCACCAAAATTTTTCTACCCTAAAAGCTTCGACGAATAAGGTCGAAGTTTCCCCAACCCTGAGAGATTGACACGAGAGCTTTTTTCGGGTCGCCGTATTGTAGCATCTATAGTGCCGCAGACGTGGTACTGTAGTTGCTACAGTACCGCGACCCAAATTTCCTCCGCTTGACTTTTTTTGTTTCCCTTTCCCTTCCTTTCCTTTTATATGATTTTTCTATTTTATTTCTTACCTATTTTATGTTTGTCTTTTCTATTTCTTTACTTTTCCATAAAATCCCCTAATATAAATCCTTCCCTATTATATTACTTCTTTTTTATTCTATTTCCTATTTGAAAGCATTGCCTAATATAAGTCATAATCACTCCTATATATAGGGGCTGCTTTTGCTTAGAAAAGGAGATTTGGACAAGTGTAGATTTGTGAGTGATGCCTTTCAGGCATTCTTCCCCTCCAGGGGCTGAATCCGACGGCGAGAAGGTGCTCCGGCTGTAACTCGTCTTAGGGGTTATTTTTGCTTAGAAAACAAGATTTGGATGAGTGCAGATTTCTGATTGTTGCCTGCATTCTTCCCCTCTGGGGGCTGTACCCGACGATAAGAAGGTGCTCCGGCTATAACTCGTTTGAGTTGGTGACCATCTCCAACGGTTCAGGTGATGCTTCAACTGTAGCTCGGCCTCAAAGAGACATTTTACCTTTTCGCAACCCTTATTTGAGTCTGTGTTGTTATTTTGTTGTCATTTATTTCATATTTTGACGAGTCCTGTTGTAATCTTTGAAATTCAATAAAAATATTATTATTTATGTTATGGTTTGGGCTTCCTCCGGTATTATTTGTTATCAAAACAAGCTCAACCCACCCTAGTCCTATCATAGGGTTTCCTAGTTTCGCCCATACCCAAACCACCCCCACCAAAATTTTTCTACCCTAAAAGCTTTGACGAGTAAGGTCGAAGCTTCCCAGACCCCGAAAAATTGACGCAGAATATAAGGTCGAAGCTACAGTACCGCGAAAGATTGACCCCGAAAGATTGACGCAGAATATACAGTACCACGACCCAAATTTCCTCCACTTTTCTTTTTTTGTTTCACTTTCTCTTCCTTTACTTTTCTATGATTCTCTTGAAAGCATTGCCTAATATAAATTCTAATCCCCCTTATATATAAGGGTTGTTTTTGCTTTGGAAAGGAGATTTAGATGAATTCAGATTTCTAAGTGCTGTTTTTAGGTATTCCTCACCTTCGGGGGCTGCATCAGACGACGAGAAGGTGCTCGGACTATAACTCGTCCGAGGGGCTATTTTTGTTTAGAAAAAGGAGATTTCGATGAGTGTAGATTTCTGAGTGTTGCCTTTGAGGCATTCTTCCTTTCTAGGGGCTATATCCAACGGTGAGAAGATGCTCCGGCTATAACTCATCCGAGGTGGTAACCGTCTCCAAGGGTTTGAGTGTTGCTCCAGTTGTAGCTAGACCCAGAAAAAACATTTTATCTTTCCGCAACCCTTATTGGAGTCTATGTTGTGTCTTTATGTTTATGTTGTATATTTCCTGTTTTGATTAGCCTTGTTGTAATCTTTGAGATTCTAACAATAATATTATTATTTACGTTGTGGTTTGGGCTTCCCCGGGTATCAAAATGTCTTATATTTTTCAATAATTTCCCACAATACAAAAAAATACATACCGCTATGAAGGACATTGGCTTTCAGAAGAAGGAACAACGCATGCAGGACACCTTTCTGCCACAGCATCACGAGAAGACCGCATCTCAAAGGAATTCTCTAAATTTGGACGGCAAATTTCTGTCCCAGCAGATAAAAATTTCTCAGCTCTCGCTTTCTCAGAATAAACAGAGGCTTTCATTACCATTTGTGTGGCTTCATTAGAAACTCCAGTATCAGGCTGTGTGAATTAGGAGAGTAAATCAAGTGAATGGTATAATCAAGGCTGAAGTAAAGATACAGTGAGGTCAAGAAACTGATTCTGTACATTACACAGATCTTTGATGTGGACAACAATAGCAGTGATATCGTCGGTTCGGCTTTCTTGCTCCAACCATAATTTATATGCTTCTGCGGCAAGTGCGGAACAAGCATCACGTGGATCCTTGAAACTACCCACCTATATAAATCTTAATCTCATTAAAATTCGTTGAGAGATTCATTCTGTCGGAGTATTGTTAGAAAAAAAAAATAATAATAATTGCAAGGTTTACAAACATACCACTCAATTCCTATGTATCATATCTAACACCTAAACTTCAATTTTTACATACATGCCAACTTCCTTACGCAAGAAAATGTGTATTTCGAAATTGAGCGGTATATGTAAATGCCCAAAAAATAAAAGGGGATAGAAATCAGGGTTCAATATGAACCTCCGTCCCTCAATCGCTCTCATGTATTGTGCACATTCATCATGGCCATTTAACAAAATTGTATCAGGCAGCATTGAATTAAATATGTTAAGGAAACAAAATAATAATAATTGAATATGAAAAATAATGTCAGCACAAATCTGAAAACAATTCAACTATCAAACCCAATGACGACAAACAAGAGAATCTACCGATCGGTCGTCAACCCAAGTTAAGAGCCCGTTTGGGGCAGCTTATTGACTGCAGTGACGGTATGAAAACGCCGTATGGTTCATATTTTAAGATCGTCAACCCAGATTAAGGTTACACTTTCTACGTAGAACACTACTAAAACGTAGAACACTACTTAAGATCGTCAACCCAGATTAAGGTTACACTTTCTACTTCATTACAGTCTCTCTCTCTCTCTCTAATCTCTGTAAGACTTTATTCATCGGCGCACTTTCCAAATATTTTCGGATTCAACATCTTAAAAAGTGCGGTGAGCATGGTAAGTTTATATTGACAACAACATTTTATTTCTTAGAATGGGTAAAAGTCATTCATCCGAGAGAAGTGAAAGCATATCTTGCCTCAAAATTTTTAATAAACATATCATGTATAGGTTTGGCATCCCTCACTAAATCATATCTGATAATGGTCATGACATCAAAAGTACCAAGATCAATATTTTTATAAGGCAGTATAATACCAAGTTTAGTGTGAATTAGACTTATAATAGTCAACAAAGTTATTTGTTTAAGTTGAATTGCGAGATTCAATGAACTCAACATTTAAACTCATAAATTTAAAATAATTTAGGGTTTAGGGTTTTAACTTTTTACGTTGAAAACCCTGAAAAGGGAAAAAATCACGAACCTTATCCCAATTAAAATAATCCACAATGAATGATAAGTAAACAGGTCCACACTTCTCCTAAATTAAGAGAAGATAAAATTACAAAGTTGTATATTCATAATCTGACTATAATTCTTGGCGACAACAGACTGCAAGAGTCAAGATTTAAGGTTTAGGATTTAGGGTTCAGAGGTTAGAGTCCTTCAATCCAACTTCGACTGGCAGCCAAACATGAGCGAGCTATAGATCGATTAGGCGCAGACTTAGTCTTCTACAAACATCAATTTAAACAAAGCCTTCGGTTGCCACTATGCAAAGAGTTGCGGTTGATCTTCAACCAATACAGGGTCAATCCAACTCACGTTCTCCCAAATTCTGTAGCTGTGATGATGAACTTTGACCTTTTCCGACAGAGTATGAAGATTTCGTCTGTTTACTCATTTCTTCTCCTTCAGAATCAGTTGGGATATTTACGTCCAGTTTGCTGCGGTCATAAGGTACAGTTGTTAGCCCTTGAGAATAAGAAAAAATATTGAAAGTCTCGGGGGTTAGAGTCCTTCAATCCAACTTCGACTGGCAGCCAAACATGAGCGAGCTATAGATCGGTTAGGCGCAGACTTAGTCTTCTACAAACATCAATTTAAACAAAGCCTTCGGTTGCCACTATGCAAAGAGTTGCGGTTGATCTTCAACCAATACAGGGTCAATCCAACTCAGGTTCTCCCAAATTCTGTAGCTGCGATTATGAACTTCGACCTTTTCTGCCAGAGTATAAAGATTTCGTCTATTTACTCATTTCTTCTCCTTCAGAATCAGTTGGGATAGTTACGTCCAGTTTGCTGCGGTCATAAGGTACAGTTGTTAGCCCTTGAGAATAAGAAAAAATATTGAAAGTCTAAGTTTCAGTTGCTTCATGTACGACGGTTGGGGGATTACTTGGCAGAAGAAAGCCGAGCTAACTCGGCTCTTCGGCAGGAAGAGGTTAAAAGAGGGACGATCTGGTACTATAACCAAAATGTCCAAGACACATTCGCCCGTGGAGATCTGGTGCTGAAGAAAGCCGACCCAACTACTCGAGGACATGTGATTAAAAAGTTAAGACCTTTTTATTAAGAAACCATGAAGAAAAGGATTGACTTTCTTCTAAATTGCGTTTTTATTGTCATGTTAACTACCCCAGAACAAATGACCTGAGGAAATAAGAAAAAGAATCCTCAAATAAAGTTAGCTACGCTTGGGGAACTAACTTCTCCCAAAAATGAAATAATCCTACAACGGCGATCATAATCATCCGATCGGAAGGAAAATTCCCCTTTAGGAGAGCCGGGGATTTTGCTTTTCACGAACCTAAGCCCTACAGCAAAGAACAAACAGTAATCAGAGATGGTTTCCCACCCTATAGTGACAAGCTCCGCTAAGCGTGATCCCAGGGAAAGGGGAATTGGGTAACCACCTCTCATAGAAAGGACCCAACTTTGGGAGTCTATTTGAAGAGCTCGATCAAAAAAAAAAAAAAAAAATATATCAAACGAAAAACCAAAATCAAACAAAGAGATCAACCAATGGGCTTTAGAATCTACCATCTCATCTCAAAAGATGATTTACTACCTGACAACGACAAGCTCCACAAGGAGTATTACAGCGACCGTCTTCGAGAACCAGCTAAATAAAATCTAACGGAGGGTACGATTACATCTTTGAGGATTAATAGCCGATCGTCCAACCAAAGCAGAACCGCAAGAAAATGTAAGGTAAAGAACCAAAGTGGAAGACAAGATTCTTTCATTTTGAGGTAAAAAATAAAAGTTTCTTCGTTTACAAAATGTTTCTTTGATTAAAAAAATGTATCCCCGCCCGCAATTTTACAATACTTACACATCTTATAACCCAAAAAAGAAAAAGATAATTTCTCGAAGTAAAACCATCCCAAGATTAAATATTGGAGGACTCTCCGTAATCCTCAACATCCTCTCAATCAACACCCTCTACTCCTTCAGCACGGCCAGATGACCGCTCACCAGGTCAACCCCTTCATCTTCAGGATCTGAAAGGAGCGTAGTCAACTCTTCCATTTCTTACCACTTGGGGTTGACCTATTTATGTTTTACAAACCTCTCGATGGCAAAGGAAGTGTCGACCTTTATCTGATGAGAAAGACCCTCAACATGTTCTTCTCAGATTATCATCGAGAACATCTTATCCTTTAGTTCTTTATTTTTTGTAAGGAGAGCGGCAATCTGAGTCTTATGATTCTGAGCCTCCAGCTTTCTCTCATCGAGGGATAATTTTAATCTCTCTTCAGCCATTATGGCTCTTTGTTTCAACTTCTGGATCCTTGAAGCTGATCTCCCGTGACGCAGGGCTTGGGAGAAGATCGACAGGTCCACATGGGAGGGGGGATGCCGCCTCCTCCTTCCTCTTCCCTCCTTTCCTTCTTTTCTTTCCTTCTTAGGCGCTTCTTAATTTAAAGTCTTTCCTAAAATCTGAAATCTCTTTGTATTTTCCTTGCTTATTTTAAAAGTCTTTCCTAAAATTTAAAATCTCTTTTTATTCTACTTATTTTAAAAGCCTTTCCAAAATTCTGAAATCCTTTTTATTCTTCTTTTTTATTTTGAAAGGCTTTCCAAAATATGAAATTCTTCATAAAATAGGTCAAGTCTCTTCATAAATAGAAGGTGATGTGCTTAGAGTTAGGGGTCTTATATTTGACATATGAAATCAGGTTTTAGCTTGGTATTTTCCCATTCGAGGGGGAAGGGTTGTATCTGACGTTAAGGTAGTGCTCTGGCTGTCCCTCATCTGAGGTGGTGATCGTCTACCACTGTAGCTTGACCTCCACGAGATATTTATTTATCATTCCACCGTTCTTGCCACTGTCCACCCGCTTCCTAGTCCTACAGCAGGCCATCACATCTCCTCCCCAACAACCGTCGGTGTCCTCCTCCCTCCAACTTGTTTCCAGCCTTCTCCCAACAAAGACGCAGCTCCCCATACTCCATCCCAACACTCAACTGCCCTTTCTGAACAATCCAATCTTGTTGTCCACTTGCCCAGAATTCCTCCCAACACTTAGCCGACCCACTTCCAGCAGTCTACCTTGTTGTCCAAATCTTTACCATCACGACCACACTTCCCCGCTCGTTGCACACCCTCCAAAAGTGTTGACGAGCCTTCCCCACTGCTGCCTCACCTTCCCAGCTTGCATTCACCTTCCAACCTATCTCTAGCCGTCCAACAAACCTTCCTGCCACCTTAACCTGCTGCCTCCCTCCTCTAGTTCACCTTCCAACCCTTGTCGGCCATCTCCCACATTCATACTTGATGTCCCAAGCATCTAGATCCACTGAGCCAACCTATACCACCCTTGGGATACACTTTCGAGGTGTTGGCTTGTGTCTTTGTGTTTGTTTGTCGTTTAGTTCATGTTTTCAAGAGTGGTTGTAACTAATTTCAAATTCAATAATAATATTTGTGTTTCTTTTGTGGTTTGGGCATTCTCCTCGGGTATCATCCCAACTTGTTCCTGATGTGATGCCTCACAAGCCAAGGCGTGATACCAATCGATTGACTGAAACATGTCCCACTAGTCCATCAATCAAAGCATCTTCTCAAAAGCATATGACCATAACATCTCCACCAAGATAGACATGCAATCCCCACTTAGAGGAGTGTGGCGAAACCACCGTCTCCTGTTGATGAGATGCGTAGTGGTTACTGGTCCACACACCGGCTCCTCGATCATGAGAAAAAGACCATTTCGTTCTGAAGAGAAGGAAGAGAAGACGAACCATGGTTCGGGGTGGGAGCCTTTCCATGCCAACGGGGAGTAACCCCAACTCCCGCTATGTCGTCCTTGTGCTCTCCCTTTGACTCCGTTCTGATTGAAATAGGGGGAGGAGCGCGGCTG